CCCCCCCCCGTCTGCAACCGTCGTGGCGTACCTTATAACAATACGCGTATAAAAAGTATACCTGCGGAATATCGCGGGCGATGGGGGGGGGGAGAGGGGGAAAGGGCGTTTTACCAATATAAATAACGGTAAAAATACGTATAAATAACAAACGGCGATAATTATTTGCGCCAAGTTTAAATACACTGTTTGGGGCATAACCGGAGTTTTCAAAAGGGCCAATAAATTTCGATAATCCGCATTAAAAAAAAAACGAATGCGTATATTAAATTATGCATATAAATTACAAGGAAGGCGAAAAATGTCGTGTATTTTTTAGGCTGGCATCCCGGACTGCGTGAAAAAAACCTGAACGCATTAACGCACGTGTACCTCCTAACCGAAGACGTTTGGAATTTCGAACGTCTTTTTTTCGTTTGTTTGTGATAACGGTAATAACTGCGCCGATTCGCGTTTCACGTGAAACTGCTAAATTACGTGTCGCACTATTACGGTTATCACTCTATCAGTTATCGTTTGTCATAACGCACCGCGTTCCTACGCGCGGTAACGAAAACCGCGAGCATTAATAATAAATCAATCCTCCACCCCCTCGGTTACATCTCTGGGAAAAAATACGCTATTGTCGTCAAACGTTTTCGTGTAATTTACCGTCGTACACCTTATGTTGTGAATTGTCTGCAGTTCGCCAGGACATATTTACAGCGAATATCTATGCTGCTTCCCTCGAGAGAAAAAAAAAAAAAAAACTCCGCTAGTGGGTTGACCAAAACTCTCCCCTAACCGTTGAACTTTCGCCAGTCGTGGGAGGGATACCCCGTTACCGGTGCGAGTATTTCTTAGATTCCCGTTTACAGTGTAATGTGCCGTTAGAAAACCGACTGTCTAATTCAATCGCTCATCATAAATATTCGCCGGCGGTTTGCGCGGTGTGCGAACTCTTACGCTACCGGGTGTCCCTGGCGTCCGCTGAGTGACTTTACGTAATGTTCGTATTCGGTAAAACGAGTTTAGAAAAAAAAAATGATATTTATTTACATTACTTCTATTGCAGTTACACCCGAGTATGATACCCCGAGCGAGACGCCGATGAATGTATTGGTTGCACTGTGATGTTTAGCGTGTTTTTGTTTTTTAAAAAATTCGCTTTCCTTATTTTGCATATGGGTACAGAATAAGCCGATTGTTATATAAAGACGCGTGGTTTTGTACATTTCCCCCCTTTTTTTTTTTTTTTATCTCGAAACACTAACACGGTCCGTATATAAAAATACGCTAATTTGTTCGTATCGTAAAAAAGTATGATCATCGTGTTCAATGCACTACACGTGTATATTTAATAGCTAGCTGTCCCGCGCGCGGCGTCGTCCGTGCCAATTTGTATTAATTTTTTTTTTATCACCCGCCCAAATTCATTTTTCGTTTCTGACCGTGTCAGAATCGAATGAAAACATTCGGGTGGAAAGTGCGTAGTACACCCTCGGCGGACCCAAAAGTGTTCTATTGCGAAATTCGAATGGCGTAAATACCAGTAATAATTATAATTATAATAGTTTTCTCATCCGTGACAACCAAATTATCATCCACAACGCCGAGGTAACCATTGAACAAACAAAAATAAATATAAACAAATAAATGGATATTCGTACCAGATACACGTAAACACCTCTTTTTTTTTTTACGCCCTCAAGAGTTGAATTTTCAAAAATTCCTTTCCTGGCGCATGCCTACGTCATAATGGCTATCTGTGCGCCATATTTCAGCCCGACCCGCCCAGTATTTCGGGCTAGGCCACGATGAATCAGCCGGGACAAGTTATTTTCTACGTATAGATATATCGTGCCGACGTAAATTCGACATTTTTTTTTTTTTTTTGTTTTCTCAACAAATCGATTCGGTCATAACATAATACATCTTTAAATAAATTTATTTCAATAATTTATACGTTCGCAGTGGGGGAAAAAAGAGAAATTAAAATAATTGATTTTTCAAATTCTCGGTAAGGTCTACGCAGTCGTTTTAACATAATATTTTTCCACCGAACGTTTAAGTTTAACATATTTTTTTTTTTATTTGTAAAATCGCAGTTTATAACGTTATAACGCGTATCCATTATTTTCGTTTATTGTTTTCTTTTTGGAAATCATTTCAATTTTAATTTCGATTTATAAAATTACTTTTTTTTTTTTTTACTATTCGGTCGTATGTATCGTATATATACTTATATACTTACGACATGCGTATGATGTATAAACATATACAGGCGTGGTGAAATCTTAATAAATAAAACCCGATTATGTTGTATACTCATGTTCGACGCGTTTTATTCGTTGAATAACAATTTTAAGCACACGAAAGCGTATACTTACCTGTATTTGAAGGGCGAGCGTGGCATTAAAAATTTAAAAAAAAAAAAAAAAACCCGTAGAATTATAAATTGAAACATCGATAAACCACGCGATTTATGTATTATACGTTTTATGTTTTCCATTTCAAAAATTGAAAACCGCATAGATATGTGTAATAATATAGTTGATGTACCTGTGGTTTAAACGAGGGAATTAAAATTGCAAAGGTACTGTTCTGTGGTCGGAAATCACTACTTTCGATGAAGTGCGCCACTAACAAAATATATCGTTGCGTATATAAGAAGAAAAAAAAAATAGAAGAAAACGAAAAGGAATCACCTATAATTATTTTTACTTTTTTTATATTCGGAGCGTAGCTAGGAATGTATTGGTGTTACCACGATGTTTCTTTATTTTTCTCGTGAACAACTTTTCTACCAGAAATCTTGCACGCGCCTATCAAATGTAGCACATTTTCTGAAAGAGAATTTTATTTAGTCGGTACTTTAAACATGTAATTTTTATTGATTTTCCAAACGGTTTTCATTATATTTGGGAAGAACCGGCGAAAAGACTTGGGAAAAACTGTACAATTCACGTACTCGTATAAAATAAACTTTCCTCCGAATCGGTTTTCGTTAGCAATAGTTTATCAAAGCTCAAGTTTAGCAAACAAACGAAGAGAGAATTGTAGAAAACGAAGATTTTATTCAAAACACTATGACTATTAGTTTGTAACAAAAAACGATCACGAATTAAGTTCGTTCAGAAATGTGCGTACCTAATAATGTACCTGTTTTATAAAATAATAATAATCGTATCTGTTGTAATAACAATATTCACAAGGGGGTACGGCACAATATTATTTTAAATTAATTTTTAATGAATACATTTTCGATCGCTAAACAATTTATAATACCTAATGCGTGTGCATTTTTAACCGCGTCATTTAAATAAACGACAGTCCTTAACAGTCAATCTGTAAACGCGGAAAGGAAAATATTTGTGTATCAATAATATTTTTAAACGCGGACGCAACTCGGATGTGTCGTGAGAAAACCGCGGACACGACTCGGAAAAAATATCATTTACGGACGCGATGCGAATGCGCCGAACATGGCATGCAATATATTGTTGACGAAACATCGCTATCAACCGAACTCCGTTCGGAATCGTTTTTTCGTTAGCAACGGTTTATCGTTGCTCACGGGTACACAATAAATTACGTTTAACAGTGGCCGTACACGTTTCCATTAGCCTAGGACGTATTTTGCATTATAATGCCATCATATTCGTTTAAAAAACAATTACATTGAGATATTCTCAAGCTTCATATTTTATTTTACTAAAATAAACATAATATCATTTTGTGAACTAATTGATATTTCGTTGAATTCTCAATTTCATTCGCTAAAAAAGCAACGTTTAGAGTAGCGAAATGTGTGTTATTTTTCTGTGAGAAATGTACTATCATACGCCACTTATCAAAATAAATCCATACGCTATCAGTATAATCGCTATTTCCATTGGATTTTTCAAATATTCTCCAATTTTTTAACATTTGAACATTTTTTTATTTTTTCTGGTTTTTTTTTTCAGTTTAACGATCATTTTAATCTTAACGACTTGGCCACTAATCCACCGAGAAGTCGGACAAAACTGTGTGAGAAATCGCGTTTGACGGATTTCAGTTTTGAAAACGAATTACGATTCTTTAGGTTCTTTGCAAGGGGATACGATATTAAACCGTTTTTTTTTCTTTTTTACTTTTAACCACTTTTATCGCAAATAAAATATGAAAAATACTTTACGATTTCCAGTAAAAACAACTTCTATTAATATCGTAAACGACATTCGGTTGGCAAAAATAATGGCGGCGTAGGGATGGTTTTCTTTTCTCTTCTATACCCTTTTATGTGCAACACAATATTACTAGGTTGAATTATTTTATTATAAAGAACAAGACGGACTTTGAATAATATCTACGCGGTATTTAATATAATAAGTCACCCTATTTGTATGTAACGTGGCTTTTGTCGGTAACTGAACAAATTTAGAACGCATAAGACACTTGAGTTTTAAACTCCACGCGGTCGACGTTTCCGTTTGAACTTTTAAAAGCCGTTTTTTTTAAATCCCGTTTACAAACACGGTGCTACTACCGTGAACATATATTATAAGAAACGGGATAAAGAGTCGGGTCGATTCCGGTGTGAATAGCTACGCGGCGCTGATTTTTAAGAGGATCCGATGTACCGGTACATTTTCGCTCTTTGTTCGGCGCAATACGCACCATATCAATTTATAAGTACCAATTTTCCTTCAATCAGTCCGCTCGATATAGCGCGAAGCGTTAAGAACTGTTTTGAAAACGGATTCGAATTTAACGCGACCAAGTGTACACGATGCGAGATCGGTCAGCCCTTATTCCGTATAATCTCGGATGTTTTTCTTTTCTTTGTTACACGATCTATTGTCGTATCGAACTTTCGGAATCCACGAACCGAAATCCGTTCCGATCCGGTTTACGGGAACCTATATGTCGAACACAATTAATATTCAAGGCGTCTTTTAGCGAATGTCCGTTTCGTGTTCACGTTCCCTTCCGCGTAACGGGCACCGCGTAGTAGACGGACCGAATCATCATGTTAACTTTAGAACTTAGCACTCCATCTCCCACCGGTGAGTGTATTTCCTACGCAAAATCAAATGATTTTCGTATACAAAGTCCGCCGGTTGTATAATTTACCGTTCTCTTCTCTCGCGGGCGCACGCAGTTAACAAATTGCTTCTCTACTGGTTGTTCATTGGACTTTATACGGCGCGTCCGTTCGGACGTAGAGAACTTCTTCTTGCAAATTCGTTTCCAGAACTCGCCTCGCTATTACGTCCGACTGATGTACGAAACGTTTGTCTGATTAACGGTACGCCGCGTGCGTGAGACAAAGAGAGAACATAGGGGGTTCCTGACCCCCTCTTATAACGATTATCGCAAACATTAATACGAAAAAGAACCCTTGTAAATAACACAGCTGCTGCAGTTTGGAAAGTTCAAATCGCGTAGTTTTCAGCCGATATTCAAACTAAATTGTTTTTAATTATTATTGGCACTGGCTAATGGAAGTTTGTTAATCGGCCGGCTGTTAATTATTGTTACCGACCGAACAACATTGAAACACGACTGCTCGCGAATATCTCGTTTTTCGTAAGTTTGTTTTATTAATTTCTATAATATTATTATAAGATTATTCCGGAACAATAACCGGCCGGATAATGGCGTTCGACACAATACCCGCCATTGTGGTACCGAAACGATTGTCGCGCGCAGCGTGTCAATATCGCCGCTTTCTGCGCGGATACAACGGGCGATTCTGTTTTTATTTATTTATTTATTTATTTTTTTTTTTAAAAAAAAACTTTACTACGCACAGGGTGTATCGTACACGGTTCA